TGGAGAAATCTGGGACAGTGGAAGGTTCCCTGCCCATGGCAGGGGCTGGAATGGGATGAGCTTTAAGGTTCCTCCCAACCCAAAGCCCAGCTGCAGAGGGGCAGAGCCAGACTTTCTGCTGGATTTTCCAATTTTTTAGGGGTCACTGGTCATTTCCAGCCACTGGCCTGACCCAGTGCTGGTGACAGCTCTGTGTGGTGGTGAGAGACCACCGGGTCCTTCTGCCAGAACATTTGTGACACTCCCTGCACCACAATTCCCTCGGCCAAAGAGGACAGATCCATCCAGTTCTCCCTCTGTCCCTGGCTCCATTTCCCAGCTCTCAGCAGCTCACCTCGCTGAGCTCCACCGCACCCCTGCCATGCCCAAACCCAAACAGTCAGCACATGGAAAAAACCCATTTTTGATGATTCCCTTCTGTCCAAGTGTGAGATCGGTAATTGAGGGTAAAATTCCATCCAGGGTCCTGAAAATAGCCCAATAAATGAGCTCAGCTCTTTGCCGGTTGACTCAGCTAATCCTTCAGCTGCCGCCAGACAGCTTTGATTGTATCTTCTCTCCTTGGGCTCCCTTTAATGCCAAGGCCGAGCCGTGGCAGCTGCAGCAGCTCTGTGCAATTCATAATCTGCCTTTATTCCTGGCTGCACCACTGAACAGAGGTCGGCTCCCGCTCCTGGCTTGATTTATGAATATGGATTTTGTTGGTTAAGCCATTAGGAGCGGTGATGGAGCAATTCCTCGTACATCCTGCACCGCGGAGCGCCTCATTTGCAGCCCGCTCCGCAGAACGCTCCCCCTGCAAGGCTCCTCATGCAGGGAAGATTATATTGAGGCTTTGTCTGTAATGCTGTAATTCCAGCTCGCCTCCCTGAGCCCTCTCCAATGGGAAACAACCCCGCCGCAGGGAGGGAAGCGCTGGGGAAAGGAGGGAGCTGATATCCCGCCCCAAAAGCTTGAAGGGAAGTGTTAAATCCTCTGCGAGCCCAGCGGGGACCTCAGGCTGCTGCTGCCTCCATCCATCCATCCCAAGGGATGCTCCAGCTGGAATAGCCGCGGTGGGGAGGGGGCTCATCCTTCTCTGCTCCCCTGGAGCAGCGCAGCCCCGCAGGGCAGAGTCACCACCGCTCCCGAATTTGGAACTTGATGACATTAAATCCAAAACAAATTACAAACGGAGCATCGCTCCCCTGGGAAGCCCAAAGCGCTTGGATCCCTGTCCCGAGGTCGCACTCCCATTCCCGGGTCAGCACGTCCCATTCCGCAGCGTGAGGAGGAAGAAACAGGCTGTGCCCGGAGGCCTGGCTGCGCAATTAGAGAAAACAAAGAGGGAGAAGGGAATTGTGTGCGGGGGCCTGGATACAGCTCCTGCTTCCTGGCTCCCAGCCCTGGCTTTTCCCATCGCTGCCGCTCGTTTTTGGAGAGGATGTTTCCCCTCCGGCTGCCCCCGTGTCAGGCACAGCCCAGCAGTGGGACAATTTGGAACCTTCTCCCTAAAAAAACAGCACTGGTCGAGATGTGGTCAGGGATGAAACAAGAATTCCGTGTGGGAATCTTTGGGAATGGTCCAGAGCAAAGCCAAGTTTCCCCTTCACAACAAAAACGCTTGGAAAGGTGCACGAGTAATATCCAAGGCCTCTCTAAATTAAATTTCCATGTTATTTTTCCAAGAACTCCTAAATGGAGCGGATCCATCCAGCTCATCACTCACAGCATCTCCCGGTTTGTTTTTAATTAGCAGGAACACACAACCGAGCCAGGCAGGAGCTCGGGGGATCAGGAAAACCACCCCGACAGGCTGGGAGCAGGGCTAGGATGAAGGCACCGGAGCAGGGAACTCGCTCAGAGGGCTCAGGGGTGATGGAAACCGGGATTGAGGGACAGAGACCACACGAGGCTCCGTGGGAAGAGCCGGGACTGCAGCTCTGGGGGGGGCGGCGTGTCCCAGGGCAGGAATAATTTGGGTTCCCGGAGGAGAGGAGCGGGATGGTGACAGAAAGTCCCAGGGAGAAGCCAGCCATGAAGGAAAACACTTCCAAGAGAGAGGGGAATTTGGGGTAGTGGAGATGGGATGGAGGGAATTGGTTCGCTTGGGATCAGCTGGAGAGGGGTGGGAGGTGCCACAGTGGATTGGTGTGGGAGCAGGGAAGGGGGGGCCGAGTGCCACCGGTGCCCTCATGTCCCACCTGGGGGATGCTCCAAGTCCCGCAGGAACCGATTTCAGGGATCCAGGGGCCCCAGTTTCAGCGGGTGGCCCAGCCCAAGAGCCTCAGGGTGTGACATTTCACATGTCCGTGTGGCTGCCAGTCCCACGAGTGTCCATGTGGAGCCTGATCCCATGAGTGTCCGTGTCCCTATGGATCCTGGTCCCATGAGTGTCCGTGTCCCTATGGAGCCTGATCCCATGAGTGTCCGTGTCCCTATGGATCCTGGTCCCATGAGTGTCCGTGTCCCTATGGATCCTGATCCCATGAGTGTCCGTGTCCCCATGGATCCTGATCCCATAAATGTCAGTGGCCATTTGATCCTGATCTCACGAGTGTCCGTGTGAATTCGTGTTTGACACGTGGTCATATCCATGTGGATCCCAATCCCACGAGTGTCCGTGTCCATATCCATATCCATATCCATATCCATATCCATATCCATATCCATATCCACATGGATCCCGATCCCACGAGTGTCCGTGTCCATATCCATATCCATATCCATATCCATATCCATATCCATATCCATATCCACGTGGATCCCGATCCCACGAGTGTCCGTGTCCGGTCTCCAGGCGCCCCCTGGCGGACACGGCGCGGCCCAGCCTGGCCCGGCAGCGGCTGCTCGGGGAGAATCCCACGGGATTTAATCCCACGGGACGGAATCCCACGGAATTTAATCCCACGGGATTTAATCCCACGGAATTTAATCCCACGGAATTTAATCCCACGGGGGCTCTGAAGGGACGAGGTGACATTAAACCAGGAGCCGAGCCCATCACGCTCTGTTAAGGACAGCCGGATCACGGCAGTGGGCAAAGAAAGGAGTGACAGCTCCACTACAGAACAGCTCAGGAGGCTTTAATTAGCCGTTAATTAACCTTCCCCACTGGGAGGAGGAAGAAGGAAATTCCTGCTGGGAACTGGGATGAGTGGAACACACACCAGTTTGCTGCAGGGGCTGCACTGGGATGATGCAGAGAGGGGAGGGCAGAGCCCGACATTCCTCCTGTTTCGGTGCACCCCAAAGCCTTGGAAGCCTGGAAGAGCTCTTGGATCACAGAGCAGGGTGGGTAGAAAGGCAGAGGGAAGAGCCTGGAGCTGTCACAGCCCATCCTTTCCCCAGGGAAAGGCTCCAGCTGCTGCCAGGGCTTGGGCTCTCACTGGGAAGTGATTTCAGGATCGTGTTTGTGGCTTTAAGAATGGAGAACCACCTCCCTTCCTGTCTGCAGGCAAAAGCCTTGTGGGTTTCAGGGACAAGGCAGGTAGGAAGAGGCAGGAATGCTGTGCAGGAATGCTGGGGACTTTTTGGTGACATCCTGAGACATCCCTGAGAGCAGAGACCAAGACCCAGTGCAGACAAGGTTCCCAAACCAGTGTGGGACGTGCCTGTTCTGTCAGGGAATAATTCACCCCTACACCGCCTCAGCTCCTGAGCCAACAGCTCTGGGAACAACCCTGTTCCACTGTGAGCAGCCCAGAACAGCTGTGACAGACCCACAGCAGATGGAAAATCAGTTTATCCATCACTGAGCTGGCAGGAGGAACCCACCTGGCCAGGAACATCTCTGCCAGGTCTCAGGGAGCTCCTCACTCCTTGGCCAGGGGTTGTAGCGAAGGAGCTCAGCCCTGCACAGATCCCACACCTCCAGCTTCCTTGGAAGGAGAGGGAGGCTCCCAGTCCAGCTCCTGGGAGGTGGCTGTGGCTGGGATTCAGCGGTGCTACCACTTGAGAAAGCACACTGTGCTCCTCCAAGGCCAAACACATGGCAGGAGTTACTAAACTTGTGTTTTACTCTTGCCTTGCTGAGGATTGAACACTCAGAGGGGCCTGCAGCAGCACAAAACCACGGCATGGGATGAGGGAAAGGCATTGGTGTTATAAAAAACACAGAAATTATATAAAAAAGGGGAAATGGAGGATGCCAGACATTCAGAGGATGGTGCTGGGAGCTGTAACAGAACACTCCAGCCTGGATTAACCACCAGCACTGAAGCAGAGCCATTTCCAGATTAGGAGTTCATGCCTGGATTGGAGGAGTTCAGTGCTCCACAGCCAGGGTTTTTCTCCAAAAGAAGAACTCACCAGCAGAACTGGGCTGCAGAACTGGAAGCACAACATTCCCTCCAGGAAAGGCAGGACAGGGAACACGGGGCTGGCACAGGACCTGCAGCAGGAGGAGGAAAAGCTCCTTGGTGGCAGCTGAGCCACAAATTCTCCCATTTCCACAGCATCACTTGGAAAAGCAGAGCTGGAGTGGGTGGGAATTTGAAGTGTAGGAAACACAGACAACTCTGAGCCTGATCCACAGAGAAGGGGGCTGACACCATCACGCTGCCTCCTCCTCCTCATGCTGGTTTGGTGCCAGCTGATCCCTTTCAGACCAAGTGGAAGGAAGAAAGGGGGAAAAAAATAATCTAGGATTACCTGAGGCTTCCTTTCAGAGAAAGCTGGGCCTGGGAAGGCAGGGAGGCTTTGTCAGGGCTCGGGGTGTCAGTTCTGCCATCCCAAATCTGCTGGGGGATGGAGCCAGGGAGCACGGGCAGCCCAGGGGAGATCAGGAGGAGAGAACAGAAAATGGGGATAAGGGAAGAATTGGGATTTCACAGCACGAGGTGTGGGATGTGAGTCTCACTTCTTCAGGAAACCAGAACTGCTCACCAAGTACCCAAAGAAGGGAAAATGATTTCTCAGCCACGGTGGAGGACAGGCAGCTGCACACCAGGAGGGTGGAAATGGCCCAACATTTTCCTTTGGGACAAGGTCGGGTGGGGGGAAAAAAAAACCAACAGAACTAAGTTCATAAAATTTTGCTTTTTATTATTTGAAATTGGAAAAGGCTCCTTGGGTAACAATGATCAGGTGTAAAAGTAACACAACAGGGCTTGCTCAGCTTTCCAAAACCTGGGGTGAAGTCGGCCAGGTGCTGATTTCATACATCCCATTCCTCTCAAAGCCACCAAGGAAAGGACAGGCAAACCCCCAGCCCTTGGGCAGGTGAGGTGGTTAAAGTACAACTTCTCATGTTCCACATGGATATTCGTGGTGGTGGATGTGCAATGGTTTCCTCCCACTGCGCTCTGTACAAAGCAGGGATTTATATTTCTCCTTCATTTTTAATGCTTTTGTAGAGACTTATCCACACTCAGAACCTCCAGGCAATGCCCAGATTAATCTATCAGTGTCATGTTAAAGTGGTGAGTGCAAAATACACATGGGAACAGGGAAGGGGGAGTAATCAATGACAAAACAAAAGTGCAGATTGCTTTAATTAAGCTAATGAACACGGTCGAGCCAAGTGCTCTTTGCCTCCAAAGTTCCAAAGATTGCAATCCAAACAAAAACCAGAACCACACACTTGAATTCAGCACACAAAGCACCCAAACGTCAGTGGCACTCACAGTTTGGTACCTCCCTCTCCTACCCCACATCCCAAATAATTCAGTGTCCCACTGGGAAGGGCAGCACGAGCCTTTGGCAGCTGAACACCACAGAGGATTATCGGCCATGAGAGCAGCCAGCTACAAGACAGAGTTAACACATTATCATTCCCTAAACTAGCAAGTTGAGCCTAAACAACCCATTTCCACACAACACCCAACACTCCCATCGAGTTCCACTAGGTTTGAATCAATAAAAAGCAAGAAAAAGTCATCCTTGTTGAAAAGTAAATTCTGAGCCAGCTGCGGTTTGGGCTTTTCCTGGGAGCTGACACCTCCAGGCACGTTTGCACAGAATTCCCTTTCTCCCCAGCACACATTTCCTAAGGAACTGCCCTCCCACTGCTGCTGTCCCATTCCAGGGCAGCACTGCTGTTCACTCCACAGCAGAGCTGACACCCAAATTTACAAACAATTCCATCCTTTTCCCGTCTCCTCAGTAAAATGCAGCCTGACACATGCCTGTGGAGGGCAGCCACCACGCCTGAGCACAGCACATTCACAGCTCTCAAATCAGGCCCAAGGCAAACAAACTGGAGCTTTGATGTTCCTGTTTTCCAGCTGGCCAAATCCATGTGTTTTGACAACACAGGATGGAGGAGCAGAACCCATCCCCAGCACATGAACCAGACACTTCTTGTCCCCGAGCCAGAATTCAGCTCCAGGTCTTGCAGTGGCCACTGGGGCTCTGCAACCTCCCTGCAAAGGCTTTGTTTAATCCAAAAGGCTCCTGCCAGGACTATTCCTACCCCTGACAAGTTGTTTTCCATCCTCGCCAGCACTTTCCACCCATCTGGGATGAAGCAATCCAGCCAACTGTCCCTGAGATTTCCTGCAGAGCCAAAAGGACGAGGAGACGTCGGCAGCAGAGATTGATCACCATCTGCAGGGCCCCAGCACACATTATCCCTGTCAACAGCTCACACAAGGATCCCAAGGGGCTGGAAAGCTGGGATTTGGGAAAGGAGTGGGGAATGCAGTGTTGTGCAGGGGGTGGTACAGCCTGCACCGAAGTGTCCTGTCAGCACAGCCTCCCAGGAGGAAAGGCAGGACTGGGAAAGCAGGAGCATCCCCCTCGGCCAGGGGGGATCAGATCCAAACTGCCTGCTCCTAAATCTGTCTCTCCCCTCTCCCAAAGATTCCAGAGCTGGGAGTGTTAACTCCACGTTATCCTGCTTTGCTCTGGAAGCACTGACAGAGCCAAACACAAAGGAACATCCAGCACAGGAGCATCCCCAGCATTCCCAAATCCATCTTCACAGCTTTCCTCACCCTCAGCCAAACCAGAGGGAATTTTCCTCTGAAATGCCACAAAAGCCTGCCAGGCTTGGAGCAGCACAAGGTGAGAAAAGGCATCAGAGGAGGATTATTAATACAAAACTTGCTATTTCCTTTGCTCCAGACAGAATGAAGCCAGGGGGTACCAGCAGTTCTGCCTTTAATCAGGAATTATCCTGACATTTTGAGGCCAGCCAGGTGAGTTATAAATAAAAAGATGCCACTACAGGGTCAAGGCAGAGCTGGGAAAATTCCCCCAAGGCATCAGCCTCCACTAAAATCATTCTCTCCAGCCAGCCAAGCAGGTCTGGCCTTCAGGAGATCCTTGGCACTGCCACGGGAAATTCAGAAGGGAAAAGAAGCCGGGAGAAAAGCGGATGCACAACCTGTGCCAACAGCAAACAGGTGACCCCTGGCCCAGGTGACAAAGGACAGAGACTACAGACAGGTCAGTACCTGAGAGAGTGACTCAAGCCTCAGGTACTTGCAGGACAATCAGTGCAGTCTGGATTTTAATCTCCATTTTAAAAAAATTAATCGTAATTTAAAAGCTAAAAGCCAAAATTATCAAGTCAGTTGTGTGAAAGTTTAGGATTTTTTTTTTTTTTTGGTAGGGATATTGAAGTGGGGAGAAATCTGCACTCAGAGCTGCAGGTCCAGCTGAAGAAGAGCTGGTTTTAGGGACAGGCAATGGGAACAGCTGCCCCAGGGGACATCTCCCACCCCTTTGGGCTGTTAGGGAGAACACACAGCAGAACTGCAGCAGCCTAACAGCAAATCCCAAGATAAACAAGCCACTGAAATATCAAATAAAGTCCTAATCATAGGCTCATTAAGGTTGGAAAAGACCTCTGAGATCGAGTCCAACCATTAACCCAGCACTGAACATCTTCAGCTGTCCCAGAAAGCTGCACCAAACTGGAAACCTCTGTCTGCAAACCAGGCACGAGCTGAGCACGAGGCTGAGATAGCCAAGCTCAGCTCCAGGTCACCTCTCTGCCCACTCACCAGGGCACAGAGAGCAGCCACTCCCTCTCTGCAGCCCTGGGAGATCCAAACTGGCAGGAAAACCTCTACAGCCTGCTCACACCCACCCTGCAACATTTTCCCAGCTTTTTCAGCAGGCCTGTAACAGCTCCTCACCCCTGACACTGAGGCAGGACTGCCACTCCTCACAGAGCTGCAGGAAACAAAGCAAAAAGTGCCCTAAATCACCTTGAAATTCCCAGAGGTTTGGAAAGCTCCATCCAGAGAGACAGGAATTAATCCTGTGAGTGATATGAGCTGCTGCTCGTTGTCTCTGCTGGAGCCTGGGTTCTCACACAGCTGAGGGAACACATGAGAGGCAGAAATGGCAAAAAGCCCTTGTGAGAGTGAGAATAAAAGCTGTTCACAGGCACTGGAACCAGGCAGGGACTGAAACTTCTCCCCAGAGGGAGCCTGAAACCTCCCAGCACAGGTACAGACACATTTACAGACCTAAAACTGCAGAGATGGAACGACAGGGTTTTGTTAGACACTGATCTGGGGAGAAGAGAAGGGACCTGGAGTTTGTCATCACAGCCAGAGGGCAGCTGCAACAAAGGCTTGTGTTAGTGCTGATGGTCTCCAGCACAATTCACAGCCTGGAGATGAGCACTGGCCAGGATTTTCCTGCACAGCACAGTCCAAAGGGAATCTGCTCCCTTGCCTTGCAGCACACAATTCCCAGTGGAGCTCAGATCTGCCACAAAATCATTCTGGGATGAAAGAAGTGCAACTGCAAAGGGAAAGAAGGGTTCTGTAAGGGGAGCAGCAGCAGCCACTGCTCCAGGAGTCAGAACAAGCCACACAATACAAGGACTCTGAAGGGCAGCCTGAACAGGAATGGCACCCCTGGGGCCACACAGGACCAGGGGGACATGTGGCACCTTGTGCTGCCCACCTGGAGCCTTCTGGGCTCATCTCACAGCTGGGTTTCTTTTGGCTCCTTCCTGTGCCCCTTCAGAGCCACTTGACAAGATCTGAGAAAACCTTTCAGGTACAAACCAGTCTGAACATAAGAGCTTTTGCAGTTTTACACCCATCTTCAGTCCCACACCCAGCTCCTGCAAGGAGAAAAAAAAAAATCATCTCTGGTCTCAGGGACAGCACATCCATCAAGTTCCACAGGACAATGCTGCACACGCTCATCTGCAGTGGGGATCCTGCCCTGGCTGAGGCAATTCTGCAGAGGAAACCACACACTCCAATTAGCAAGCCAAGGATGCAGGGATCGTACCAGCCTCTCCTGGCAACGCTGCACCCACAGAAAGGTTTCTGGAGAGGAGGATGTGCTTTGTCACTGCCTGTTCCTCTGACCAGAAGTCGGTTTTGTCCCAATACATTCTTTTTTTTCGCACTAAGGGAGGTCTGTTCCCTCCCCTGCAGGATCCCTTCAGCTCTCCAAAGCACAGACTGGGAAACAAGGACTGCTGGGAGGCAGCGTGGAGTGGCACAGAGGAAAGAGCAGTCACGGATGTCTGAACTGGGATGTGTGGACATTTGGGGTAAAAAGGCTTTATTCAAAGTGCATGCTTCTATCCAGAGGTACCGAGAGCGAGGGCTCCCCTCCGCAGCCCCGGCTGGGGAGCGCAGCAGCCTTTGCCACCCCTGTCCGTCACCAACCACTCATCAAGTAGCCAGGGACTGAATGTTCTTGAGCATCTCATCGAAGGCCTCCCGGGAAGGCGCTTGGGCGTTCTGGAAGGAGACCTTGATGCGGCTGTAGAGGCTGAAGGATTTGAGCTCCAGCCAGATGAAGCCGAAGCGGTCGTCGTCGAACAGGACGAACACCCCCGGTGTCCTCTCGGGGCTGGTGAAACCGTGGCCAGCGATGAGCCCTGTCCCATAAAAACTGCCAGGGGAAGAAGACAGAACAGGTGTGACAACAGCCAGGATCAGCCAGTATTTAGTTTAAAAATCAGCACAAAACTCTGATGAAGCCACTGTGACAGAACAGTGAGTTTTGCACTCGGTTTTTCTATTAAGACAAGGAACTGCCCCCGTTGCTATCTGCAGGTTCCTGCTCTGGGTTATCCTAATTAGCACCTGCACCCCAAATCTGGGTTTTTTGGTAGTTCAAACCCATCTGAGATTAACCTGTCCAACTCAAGGATCAGCACAGGCTCAATCCTCCCAGGAAAGCAAAGGTTTGTTGAGAGCATGAACCAGAGAGGCAAAACCTAAGGGAAGAGAAAGAAAAATCTAAACAGCAAAAAAAATCTGCCAGGACCTGAGGAGGAATAAAGGTCATTCAAAGCTCTGAGCAAGCAGAAGGTGGAGCAGGGTTTTATCCAAATACAACTGAGCTGTGACAGCAGGAGCCTTCTGGGATTAACCAGCTCTGGGTAGGTTTTTCCATGAGCACAGATGTTTGGCTGAAGGTCACCTGCCTAAGCCTCAGCTTTTGGGCACTTTTTCCACACCTCATTTAGTGTGCTGCTTCACCAACTCCAGCTCCCACTCAGCACAGCTCTCTGCATACCTGCACCTCCTGCTTGGGGTGCTCAGCACCTGCCAGGGCTGCCACAGGGCACCAGAGGCCAGGGAAAGGTGGGAGAGAAGGAACATGAATGACACACATGGGAATGGGAAGCAGCTTCACCAGCTCTAAATATATGAGCTGGGCAGCTCTGAGACATAAAACACACAAAAAAAGAAAAAAAAAAAAGGAGGGGTGTGTGGAATTCAGGAGAGGTGCCAGCTTCTGAAGTAAATCTAGCAAGGAAGTGGGATGGCAGATGACAGCATGGTGAGAGAGGGAACAAACCAAAGTGTGGGAAATTGGGCAGCAGAGGCAGGAACCAGAGATTGTGGATTCCACATCCCTGGAAATGTTCATGGCCAGGCTGGACAGGGCTTGGAGCAACCCGGTCTCGTGGAAGATGTCCCTGCCCATTGCAGGGCTGGAACAAGATGGGATTTTAGGTCCCTTTCAACCCAAACTATTCTGGGATTCTGTGAGATCTGAGCCCAAGGGGCTGGGAGATCCACAGGCAGGTAAAGGACACACAAATACAGGACACACCTCAAAGACTCCCCTTTCCCTTTCAAGAATGCATCAGCCATAAAAGCACCGGTTACCAGATGCGGCAGGTCCGGGGATAATCCTCATTCCTCGATATCACTCCCATGGGCAGCACGAAGGGCTGGGAAGCTGGGGCCTTGTCCTGGGTCTTCCCCTCTGCCCCAGCTGCAGTCTCTTCCCCCTCAGCACCTTCTCCTCCCAGGGGACTGGCAGGCTGCTGGGAATGCTCCTCTTCCTCCTGCCGCTGCTCCCGCTCCTGCTCCTCCCGCCGGATCTGCTCCTGCACCTCCAGCACAATGCGAGAGAGCTCGCTGAAGTCTCGCAGGTTCTCGATGTCAGGCAGCTGCAGAGGATGGGCCAGGTCTATCTCCACAGTCTGCTGTCCAGCTGGGATGTTGGGATCTCCCTAGGGACAGGAAGGAACAGCACAGCTGCAGACACCAGGTGCTACAGAGCCATCACCTGGACTTCTTAATAGTTCACCCTATTCTATAATCACCAAGCTGGCAATAAAAAAAACCCTGCTTGGACCTTGTTTGCTGTTCTTTGACATCTCTGCTTTCCCCTTCCCAGAACCAGAGCTTTAAACCAAAAGCTCTACTTGCCAGGGTGAAAGAAAGTCAAAGCTGCAGCTGCATTTCCCCAGAATCCCTCCCTGCAGGGAGGACGGAGCTCCCCTGCCTGACTTCAGTGAAGAGCTGCCAACATTTGGTACCTGCTCCTCACACACACACAGGGGATCTCCAGAGACCTGCTACCAGCTGCTCACAGAAAGCAGCTGCAAGGGAGAGGAAAGGAAGGGGAATCCAGGAGAAACTTGAGGAGCAGGTTGTAGTTACACCAATCCGCACAGGGTTTGGGCTGCCAGCTCCCAGACAGAAATCTCTCCTGTGCATCCACAGCGTTTAGAAACAAAAGCCATAAATACCTTCACAAGAACCTGAGAGAAAGGAAAACACACTCACAGTGATCTTGGTGCCCTTGGCTTTGTTCCCATGAAAGCTCAGCATGACAATCTCCAGCCCGTGGCTCCCGTAGGTGCCTTTGAAGAGCCCTGGCTGGATGAGGTCGTTGGGGCTGCTGGGGGGGAGGTAGATGCGCCGGTACGTCAGGCAGTTACTGAGCGAGAGAAAAACGTCAGAGAAGTCAGGAAAAAACCCCTCCCCAGCAGCAATGTGTTTGCATTCTGCTCCTCCAGCAGCTTGGGGATGTCGTCAAGACAGGCAGGATCTGTGCTTTCAGCAAGCTGAGGATTTGCTCTAGAGCTCTGCAAGCATTTCCTCCTTCCCTCTGCTTCTCTCCCCAGCATCCTCATGAGCACACCAGGAGATTCCTGCAGCAAGGAAACTTCCTCAGCCCTTGAGATTCCCAGAGAACCTGAGAGTGAAGCATGTTTAAACATCTGCTACAGTGAGGTGGCTGCTAATAGAAGCTTGGAGAGATGGTTAAGACCCCCAGTTTCTCAGGGACTCTCTAATTCCTGCACTACAGAGCACACTAATATGGATAATAACCAGACACTACTTGGGATCACAGGCATTTGCTCTGTCATCAAATTAAACAGAGTTAAATGACTCAAAAGCACCTCACTGTGCACAGTTCTTGTGTAGAACTTGGAATCCTATTCCAACTGCTGTCATTCCACCTCATCTCCCTGTACAGCTGGGAAGCACTGCAGAGACACAACATTCCTCTGGCTGTGAAAGCCCATGGAAAACCCCACCTCGGGGAAAAATGCTCCAGTGTGCTTGTGAAGATGCAGCAGCCCTTACTCATATTGGCTGGTGTAGATGAACTTCATCAGGATGAGCTCCTGCATGTGCTCGTGGAAAATGTCTTCCAGAGTCCGACCCCACTCCTCCCTCAGCCACGTCCGGAATTCCTGCAGCAGGAGGAGAAAAGGGGGAGGATGAGGTCATTTCAGTCATGTGTCCCAAGGTGATTTCACTGTGGGGCTCTGTGACAGCACATTTCACTGGCAGAGCCACAGGCAGGGCACATCCTCTGCCAAAGGCAGGGAAACGTGGCTGGATTTGGGAACAAGCACGTGTTGGCTTGGAAATGTGCTTAACAAATAGTGATTATGGTAACTGCCAGTGATCACACAATAAACAGGCTTCCCTTCAAATAAATCCCACGTAGGAGCATAAACCTCCTCAGAATAAAGGCATGAGCATGGCCTGTTACTGCAAAGTAGCTCATCTGCTCTTTCTCTCACAGTAACTCATTTGTGTGCCCACAAGCTGACTCCTGTGCCCTGTCCTGACACGTTCAACAGAAAAGAAAAAAGCTTTTGAAAAGCACGGAGGGTTTAGGAGGTTAAATCCTGCTGATTTAATACTGATGCATCTAAATCCAAAGGGTGCTTTGAAAGCATCTCCTGAAGTCCCCCAACTGCAGCTCTGACAAGTTAATACCCTGCCATGAGTTGGTGTGATAACAGCTTACACTGAGATAGCAGCCTGCCAAGTGATATTCCAAACCTGCCTCCTTTATCTTCCCAAGCCAGATCCTCCAATTTCCATAATGCCACGCACACTTAACGTGGTGCTTTGAAAGTATTAAAGCATTTCTCATTTTCTCCAGCACCAGAAAACACTTAACTAAACCTTTCACCCAGCTGTTTCCCATTAGCAGAGAGACATTTCACAGCGTTCCTCAGAAGCAGCTGAAATAGCAGATTTGTCACGTGGAACCAGCTGGAAGCAAACAGCAGTACCTGGCACAGGTACTCATCCTGACATTTATACCTGCATTTAAACACAGGTATTTCAGTCAGGAATCTGCCTTGCTGGGTAGAGCTGACAGATTCTCCTGTTCTCAGACACAGGAGAAACAACCAAATGAAGCTTTTAATCCCTCGAGCAAGGCAAGCAGTGGGAAGGTGCCTCGCTGACCAGCAGGTATCCAAATGCAGCTGGTGCTCACTGTGTTTGAAAGATCTTAATTATACAGACAGCAATGGCACTGAGATCAGTGCCTGGAGTGTTGGTGATGTCCAAGATGTGCTGCTGACCCTCTCTGCAACCAAAACAGGAGGAAGGTGCTGGGGCTCAAAGAGCACCTCGACACAGAAAGCTGCCTAAACCAGGGAATCAGCCAAAAGCTCCCAGCCTGGGGGTTCACACCTGCCCAATCTCACAGAAATCAGAAGGGCACCTCCCACACCCCAAGAGCTGATCTCAGGAAGGGGAACACAAAGAGGATCAGTGCAGAGCACTCACCTCCTGCCTGCCCCCTGACATCCGGTGGTGATCTGTCTGGTTGCACTTGGTGGAGAACTCGTCCTTCTTCACAATCTGTAATTACCAGGGAGGAGAATTGAACAGGTTACACACCTGTTTAGAGATGCTTTGGATGGTGTAGCTAAGACTGCTCACAGTAAATGATTTACAAAACAAACATTACTGGATTTGCTGCAACAGAGAAATCATTCACTGCTACCGAGTGCAACAGCTACAGAACAGAGAAACAAAAGCAATAAAACCTCAATGCACTCTAATGAAAATAATAATTTTAAGCTACTTCTCTATTTCAGCTTCCTCCTTTAAAGAAAAACAACCTGTCAGGAAGCTTTTCAAAGCATCCAGTGGATGCTGCATCACCTTCTCGAGGGCCCACCATGGAGGGAGCTGCAGAACAGGTCTGTGTCAGCCTGGGCACACTCATCAGCTGCCCAAGGCAAGTTTACACATCCTTTCCCCAGCCTGTGCACATCCTGGTGCTCCCAAGCCCAAGAGAAAACAGCACAACAGCCTGGCTGTGGCATTGCCAGGGAACAAATTCAGAGCAGGGAACAGCCCACACAACTTGTCAGACACATAATGAGTGCAAAGCTGGTGCCCACACACACAGCAGGGTGGTGAAAGCCTTATCTCTGAAATAAAATCCTCCCAGCTTCCTGATGAATCCATTTCCAGTGCACACACAGTGCAGGGAGAGGCAGAGGAGCTCACCTGGATGTGGCCATTATGAGGTCCCTTGTGGCCATACATGCACTCCACCGTGGCACATTTCCTCTCCATGAGGTGGATCCTGAAGAGGGGTTTGAATCTCATGGGATCATCCACGTGAGGGTCATGAGGGGGCAGGTACATCCAGCCAATGATGAACAAACCATCCACCTGCAGAGGGACAGGACACAGAGCACACAGGATCAGCTTTGCAAAATTCCTTAGGAGGCTGCAGCAAACTCCGAGGCCTCTCGTGGCGCAGGGCAGGAGCTGCAGAACAGTTTGCTGCATTCCCAAACAGCTTTCCAGCCATTAGCCCAGACCATATGCACTCCCAGCACTCCCTGGATGAAGAGGGTTTCTTTACAAGGCTTTCTGAACCACTGGAAAAAGCTCAGGCCTTTATTGCCTGGAGTGCAGGATCCAGAGGGAAGGACCACACAGCAAGTCAGACTCTAATTGGTTTGAGAGCTCCTGCTGGCAGATATTCCAGCAGATGAATTCAGTCTCCCATGACTATCCCTGCTTTTTGGACGAGGAATTATTTGGCTTTATTACTCAGAGAACACAGGAAGCAACACTCTCCTCCACTGAGAGGCACAAGTGCCGGCCCCCTCCCTGCACACCTAACAGAATCCTTTCCCTCAGGGCCCGCAATTCCAGAGGCAGGATATTCTCCAAACACAGAGATCTGAGACCGAGGCAGCACCACAAAGTCTTTATAAGGTCACAGGGGAAGTATTGATAGTTGGATGCCCTCTTACACCGGTTCATGCAACAGAACCTTGCAAAACCCAAAGGCCTCGTGATTTGTTCTGCTTCAACCTGGCGGTTGTTGAACCTTGGTGCAGAGAACAAGGGCTCCAGGCAAACTCCTGGCTCAGCTCTCAGCAGTTCAGAGTCAGATGTTGTTCATTAACTGCTCTGCCAGCAGCACCAGAGCTGCCAGGCTCCACAGATCTTGCACCAGTGTCACTCTACATCAGAGCTTTAGGGCTGCTGTTAAGGTTTGCCAATCACACAAGTGCAAAAGGTTCAGCTGCAGGCAAAGAAAATGAAGTAGATGAACAGATTCCTGTGCCAGCCACTGGAATATCAGTGTCAAACTCTAAATCAAGCCTTCCTCTCAAACATGGATCATGTTTTCTACCTGCTCCTGGGGCTGTTTGGCATGGAGCTGAAACATAAAAGAACTGCCTGGAGAAAGGTGGTGATGATGAGAAGAACCCCAGGACCATTCAGGCTGGAAAAGAGCTCCAAGACCATCGAGTCCAACCTGTGAGCAATCCCCAGCCACAGCAACGAGTGTCACATCCACTCCAGGGATGGGGATTCCAGCACCCCCCTGAGCAACCCACTCCTGTGTTTAACAACCTTTCCTGTGAAGAAATTCCCACCTAAGAGAAACCAAGAAAGAACCAAGGAACACCCTCTGGGTCCAAATCACTCACTTGAGGGCTGAGTGTTCAGACTTTTTAGTGCTCTGGGAATGGCTGCCAGGTGTGGAAAGTGTAGAAAACCACTTGGGAGCCCCTAGAAGCCCCGGGATGAGGCACTCACCACCACGTTCAGCAGTCCCCCGTAGGGCCCGATGTCCGGCTGCCACAATCCCAGGATGTGCCGGTAGCGGTGCAGCACTGGGAAACAGGGAGACACTCAAGTGAGCACATCCAGCCAAGAAATTGGGATTTTGGGAATGAAAACCCCGCTACTAGGCTGCACACAGCGCTGACCAATAGCACCCACAACTGCATTTACTCAGGAAAAATGACTGTGTCCAAGCTGAGCCTTCCCCCAAGCTCACACACATTTATATTCTTTATTCCTGGCCCTGTGGAAGGGCAGAACCACCTACCTCAGCAGGAATTCCCAAAAAACTGTTGCAACACAGTCCCATTAATGCAAATCACACGATATAACCAGAGCTAAAACAAATAAAAGCGTCTGCTGCCTCCAGTTACCAAAAATGCACTCGATGCTTCACACTGCAAAGCAACAGAAAATAGGGAAGGGCAGACATGTGGGAAGGAACAGGGAAATTTGAGTATTTTGAAAGCATTTCACTGCCTTGTGTAGACAAACTTGGCTCCAGAGTTAAGCATCCCTAGGAGCAGCCACTGGGAGCACGGGCAAAGCACATGGATCACTCCAGCTTGGGAATCTGGTGGTGTGGCCACATCAGTGATGGCCTTAAAAATCCTACAGCAGCAGCTACACCTCAGCAGGGCCCAAAAACTGCTCCCAAAACCCACTAAAAATCTGCTCTAGCAGTTAAGGCTTCCCTGTTTCTCGTTTCAGAGCCAGCAGTCCCTCCAATCCCACCTAAATAGAGGAATATTTTCAGTAAGCAGGAATAAAAAGGGTTTTTACAGAATGATCTTAAAGCTCCTGTTGTGAGGAAAGCTTAGAGATGGGACCTGCCTCCAGTCCTTAAACAGCCATTCCACTTGACCATCTGATTTCCTTTTGTCCATCTGGTTTCCTCACAGGATCAGTAATCCTCCACAAGAAGGCATTACACAGTCTGGCATTTTGGGCAGGAACAGCAGCATGCACATCACTCCCATGAAGATGGCAAGAAGATATTTCACTGATATTTCACATGCCCATGGCCAACTCAGAAGGCCACAATAAATCACTTTAACCTCCAGGACTGGCTTGAATAATAGGGTTGGGTTTGCATTAATTTCAAAGAAGAACTGTGTTTCAGGCCAGCTGTTCCAGCAGCTCTGTTTCATTAATTACTTCAGACAGCAAGAACTACAGGAGTGGTTTTATTCCACCAAAGCAAGAACTTCCACAGAAGTTCAGGGTAACAGGGAGGGATGCCCAGAGCTGCTGCCAACGGCCTGGAGGAGCCTTTTCCCTTGGCTTTCAGACTGATGGCCTGGTTTCACCCAGTGCAGCACAAAACACTAAGGCAAGCAGGCCAACCCCATTCCCAGCTCAGTAATTACACATTAATTAACGGGATGAGCTGCTCCACCCACCACACTCTGCCCTCTACCCTGGCTGCCACAGAGCTTTTGTCATGTATTATTATTTTTTAGGACAGAAAACTAAGCTATCCAAGGGGGATGGGGATGTGCCTCCCAGCCCAGCTCCTGTTAGGAGCAATTTCAGGAAACAGAGCTGAGTTCTGGACACAGGAGGCCTAAAAAAAAAATAAAATAAATCTCATTCACTTCCAGAACTTACTGGGGAAAATGCTGGTGCTTGGCCAAAGGCCCAAACAAGTCTCAAAACACAGCTCAATTTTCAAGCCTGGGCTGCTTCTGAGCTCCAGCAAAACAGCAGCTAATACTAATTGCAGGGAAAACCTGATGAATTCCAGCCCTGGCTCTTCCTGCTAGGAGACAGGATGGATCTGGCAGTTGCTTCCCTTCCTGCTTCTCGAAAGAAAACAGCACTTGGGTCTTTCTCCAAGGTTTTCCACTGCCTGTGCTCACTCCTGGAGAAGCCTCTTGCCTATCCAAATTTCTGAGTTCACATCCTGCCAAACAGAGCAAAACCACATCCACTGGATGCTCCAGGACAACCTTCATCCAGCCTGGATATTCCCCACAGTCCATAAGTAGCTCTGCACACCTTTCAGATGGGAAGAGGGTTTCAATCCAGCCAGGAATGGGCTTGGAAAAGCAGGGAATGCCAAGCTCCCACTGGCAAAAGGCTGTCCTGACCAGGAAAGTCTCAATCCACTGCAATTCTCCTGGATTCCTGGGATGCAGGAAGGTCTCTAAAAGCGAAATGAGCTGGAACAACGTGAGCAGTGCCCTGACCTGCACGTGGGAAGAGCTCAGAGTAATCCAGGTGAGCTTAAACCCCTGGGGAAAGTGATCTGAGCTCACCTGGCTGACACTGCATGAACAGGAATTAGGGAAGACTTCCATGGGCCATTAAACCACACGAGCTCAGAACCACAGAATCATTTTGGATGGAAAAGACCTCTAAGATCATCAAGTCCAACCATCCAAGTTTTTCCCTAAGTGAAACAACACAGCCCAAGAGAAAAGGGACACATCAGAAGTTTGGGGCTGCAGCTCAAGAAACAACTGAGGGAACAGCATTAAATGCCATTTAAGTTTGGAATAAACACCCAATCTCCAAAGGAATCCATCCTGCAGTTTGGATTTGCTTCTCCTTCCCATCCAGCCCCAGAACACAGACGGTGTTGACAGGCACCCCAGGTTGCCAAATCCAAAACTTTGTCCAAATTTCTGCTGTAGCCCTGCTGCTGGTGTGTCCTGACTCCCATTAAAGTCACCACCTCCCCTGCATGGCCCCTGCTCTGCTGCTTCTCTCAGCACAGGGAATTCTGCAGCATCCACTCATTAATGGGTGTGAAAAACTCCATTCCCAAGCAGCAGTGAGTTAGTAACTGGAGTCTGCCAAACTCTGCAGACCCAAAGGAGCATCAGAGACAGCTCAACACCCCCTCCAAATAAACACCAAATAGTCCTGGCTTCCTTAATTGATGTAAACTAATCAGTCCTTCCCCCTCATTTCCTGCTGAACACTAAACTCCAAGGGTTTAGCTACTCCTCCCTCAACACAACACAAGGAGGGAAAAAAAGGTTATCCAAAGTGAGGAAGGCAAATCACAACCTTTAAAACATTAGCAGAACGTTTCCTAGAGACAGAGATGGTGCTTAAAAGGATTCAGTGTGCAGGGAGGGAATTGTTATGGGAGCACTCAGCATTTTTCTCTGGAAAGGGCTGTGGATCTCTGTGGCTCACTTGAATCACGACAAAGCTCTCTTCCAGTCCAGAGTTGCTTTGGGGAGGCCTCACCAGGGTGAATCTGAATTCATTCCTCAATCAAAGGAGCAATTCCCCACGAGCAGACTGAGTGCTCCTGTTCTGTGCAAAGAGCTCCTCAAAGAAGCACCTCCAAAAAAAAGCCCCCGAAGCCTCAGTGCCCGCCCTGCTCGCGCTGTCACCCCGCAGGGTCCCAGCGCTCCTCTAACACGCACCAGCCACCACTGGTGACACCTCCCTGCTGTCCCCAGGTCACCCCCAGTGCTTTGCTCCAAGCCAGGGCACACTCCATGCAGCAGCGGCAGCGGGGTACGTACGGCAGGTGTAAACATCTCTGTACTCCATGTGCTCGTAGTCGGGCAGGATTTTCATAAAACGCCCCGACTTCACCCGTGGGTTTATACCTGAACAGACAGAGCAGGGTGAGTGCCAGCAAACTCTGCTCCACTGGGACCAGCAAACACCTCCACGGATCTGGAGCAACCACGCAGGGAAGTCCAGCTCTCTCCTGACTTTGCTTCCAGTTGTTTCTGTCACCCTCAGTCCCACGTGAGCAGGGTTTGTTCCACATTCCCACAGACATTGTTTACAAATGGCACCCGGTGAATTCCAAGTGGAATCAAAGTCCTTCTTCCTCAAACTCTGCACTGCTGCCTCAAGAAGACCAAGTCACTCCATGGACAGCAGCCCAGGTCTGGGATTAGTTCTGCTTGCAGCCACTTGAGCTCAGTTCCTATTTTCCCACACCATTTCCCACAGAAGCACACTCAGTGAATGGAAAAGTCCACGCAGTAATCCCAAATTAACTCCTGCAGTAATCCCAAACTAACTCCTCTGCAACTACAGAGGTTTATGGGACAGGAGAGAAAATGGGGTGACACCACCAGGAAACTGCTCCTGGCACAGAGCAAAGTGCAGAATCTGAGCAGAGGAGCGGAGATGCTGAATCCTGAAAGCCAGGAACGGCTGGCAAACATTCCCACTTTGGAGAAACCACCACTGCTCGGGATTTCTGGGTGGATACAATCACTGACCTTACACAGAAGTGCAGGAAGACCATCACAGGGGTGGATCTCACACACCAAGTGTGACCCTTTGCTAATGGATGCCATGGATTTGAAAAGTACTCACAGACACTTATGTGTGAGACAGATTGATTGCAGGTTATAAATAAACTGATTAAACTCTGGAAACGGTGGGAATGTTTAGGAAAATATCCCACAGGCTTGCTCTCTCCTCAGCCTCCCTGCCCACAGCCACTGGGCTGGAGAGTCACCACTGTCCTGAGCCAGTAAGGCCATTTTTACCCACAACTCGTGCATAAAAAGCACTAAATATCACTTTAGGACCTCTGAACCATGGAAGTTATGTAGTGAAAAGGACTACAGGTCACAAAGAGATGTTGTCCCACCTAAAAATGGCAATGGAGAGCTGAGATCTGACCTAGTATGTGCTGTGTGGCTGTCACCACAGCAGTGCCACACAAAGATATGGGATTAAATGGGAATTAAGGGAGGCCTCGAGGGTTAATGGGACTTCTCTGGGGACATCTGTGTGCTGGCTCAGCAGCACTCAGCCCTCCCAGCCAGGAAAATGAGGCAGTTCCATCCCTAGTGCAGAGTATCATAGGGAAGGAGAGACAGTAGGGGATGAAGTCATTTTCCTGTGGATGCTCAGCAGGTCTGTTAAAGATGGGATTAAACCCCTTCTATCTGTTCTTCTTCCCAGCTTTAAGATCAATACTTGAAGTCATTGCTACTTCAAGGTTCTGAAGGGTCCCACACACACAGACATTCCCAAAACACACCGACACCTCCAGCCAGGCTCTCTTCCCTCAGGGAATGCTCATCCCTTTCCCACTCTCCTACAGCCATTTCCTTTCACTGTGATTAAGGCTTAGAAAAAATATCTGTTAATTCCTCAGTGAGATCTGAAAATAGCAAAACAGGATGAAAATCCCTCAATACACTTCATTAAAAAATGAAATTCCGTGCTCTTTTCCCACCAAAGGACTGGGAGGCACAGAAATCCCAGCTCTTGGTATTAAATAAAACTCCAAACGTGCCAACTTCCCAATGGAACCCCTGCAAGTCAGTCTGAACAACTTCTGCCATGGAAGTTTAATAAATATTCAACATTTCTGTGCTCTCAAAATTGGTATTAAGCAAGATTTGGATTGGTTTTATCACTTACGTTTGGCGTAAACGTCTCGACAGGACACTCCTGTGATCTCCAACTTCCTCAGGTTTTCACACACCCCATATTCTGCAACAACACAGGAAAAAAGGGTCAACCCTGGCACAAAAAGGTTTGGAGCCAAAGTCTTGACATCAGCTACTGAGATCTGATTTGTGTTTTCTTGAAGCTGCCAAAGTAGACCAAGAATCCGATTTTTGCTTTAAAAACTGGATGCGATTTCATTGCAGATTCCAAGACATTTCATAAGCAATGCCTGCAACAAACACACCATAAGGCACAAACACACCCAGCAAAGTCACAGCTGCTCCCACCTCAGCCAGGAAGAGTGTGAAATGTGGGAGACATCCCCATTCCAGCTGGGTTTGTGTGCCTGTTTCCATCAAATCACCGCTGTGCGCAGCAATTATCTGCTCTCACTGAGGTACCCGACAGGGAAAACTGCTTATTAGGATCCTAAAGGAAAGGTCACAGACTTGAAAAAGAATGAAATAGAGACATAAAACAGGCCCCAGCATGTACAAATATGGTTACACTTAAAGCAGATCAGATTGAGACAGGGCTGTTGTACAGTCAGATGCCTTTGATTCCTTCCAGAACCCCCCGAAAACAAAGGGAGCCGGAGATCTCGGAGCAGCTTTGAAGCAGAAAATGAGATTCTCTCCTTTCATTTTCAGGAAGTCAATGTCAAACTTCTAAGAAACTTAAAATAAAATAAAAGCAAGTACTAATGTCTTGATGCCAGAAGTTCTCAGAGGAGCAGAGGGAGGAAACGAGAGGAGGGAGATCCCAAAAAATCAGCAGTGACAATGCCACCCTGCTGCAGTGACCCCGACAGATCTCAGAACAGAAAAGAGCCCTCCTTGACATCAAAGACATCAACAGCACAGATCAAACAGCAGCTTTCCTCAGCAGCACAAACACCTGCCAGATATTTGACACAAAACTGTATCTCTGCAGACCCTCATCAAGCCATTAAATATGAAATTTATCCTCAGCTGAGCATCCTTGAATTAACAACTGTGGCTGTGAAGCACCACCTAATGCTGGAAACCTGCTGCAGGAGAGAATTCAGGATGCAGAGACGAGAAAAGCAGGAGTTTCCCTGAATTAATTCAGCCTCCTCCTGTCTATAAATACAAGATGAGAGAGCACACCCAGGGTTTACTGGCAGCCTGTCTCCAGGGAACACACGTCCTGCACACTCTGGCTCAAGCAAGGGCAGCGAAGGTGAGGGGGGCACAGGGCACAACAAACACGATGCCCTTCACCAAAAACTGCCAAGGGCTGTGGCAGAATTCCTGCTGACTCCTGCAATGCCAGAGGAAGCTCTGAGGGTTCTCAAGCCCAAGGTGGGCTGAGGAAGCAAAATTAGCAGAGCCCAGCCGAGCTCAGCTCGCAGGATGAGCAGCCCAGCACAAACAAAGCATTTAGTGCTGGGGCTCTGCCAGCTGAGCCAGGAAAGCACAGCTCCACGGGAGGATAAACACATCCAGGGGATGCAGGGAACAGCGTGGAACGTTCCCCAGCTGATTGGAAAATCCTTGGAAAAGGGCAGGAATGGAACAGGCAACTCTTGTGCACGGAAACAAAACTCACCTGACACAGGACAGGTGAGATGAGCCCTGTCCACTGCAGGCAGGGAAGGGATTTATACTGCATGGGAAAGGGAGGAGACACATGGAGAATCCTTCCCAAATGGAATCTCTAGCAGCACCGAGAGTGACACTCCCTCTTCCCACAGATTTTTCCCAAAGCCTTCTCCCTAATCCATAAATCACTCAAGTGAGTGCCATGGGAGATAAACCACCAGCAGTTACCTCCAAATAACAGGGTGGGAAGGGATTTGATGTTAAAGCTTCATGCAAGGGCCCCTGATAATCTGCAGTGAAATTTTATGAAAGCCAAACTGTTATTAAAATAGTTGTAATTCCAATCTTACCGGGAAAAATTCAAATAACAAATTCACTTAAATAACACAAAAATTTAGGATTTCTATATTGCTACACGTTATTTGTCATTAGACATCCTAGAAAGTATTATCAAGGAGAAAAAAATCATTTCATCCTAATGTGCTTTAACACTCATTTTAGAACTAATTCTTATCCTGTTTTGGCCAGCAAACAGCTACAGAGTGTGAAAATGCCACAGTGATGGCTGAGCTCCATAAGTGCATTACTGCAGCTCTTGTGACCCAGCTGCTCACACCAGCATGGCCATTTTATGAGAAAAATCAATCTTTTGGCTCACAGTGCCTAAAAAAAAAAACCCACTAAATATCATAAGCAAGAAAGGCCATCTCTTTTTAACCCAGAAAGCAAGAGGGACATAAATTAACAGCAAGTAGAGCTTCAAGATGATGAGAGAAAAATAAAACTGGTAAGGTTTTCATTACAGAGAACAGAAATCCCTTTCCAAGAAACATCTGAAGGGCCTGAGCTTCCTGGAAAATTCCACTTCGGTGCAATTAAATCTATTTTAAGGAAATGTATCTCAGTGCAATAGCTCACTGAGTAAAGTATTTTTATTTTAAGGAGTTAATAGTCACCGAAATTCACACCCTTGGAAAATGGCTACTTAATCCTGCTTCCAAAGCAAGGATGGAAATTGGTTTTCCAGTGACCTGCTGGAAAAGCTGCTGGTTTATAAGGAGTGCTGATTTCCCAAACACAGGGACACGCTGCTGTTTCCATAGCCACATGCACGGGAATTTAAAGGACTTGGAAAAGCAGTCTCCATTTGGTATGAGCTGCACTGATACTTCTGCAAGTGGCATTTATTCCCTGCCCTGCTCCCAGCATTTCCAAGCCTCACATTCCCTGCTCCTCCCCCAAAGAAGCTGTGTCACCTTCACCCTGCACAGACTAATCTGGAGTTTAAAAACAGGCAAGGCTCCTCCATCCCAGGTTGGGAAGAACCCCTGTGCTCACATCAAAGCCCAAATTCCTGCTTTTCTGCTGCCTTTCCCAGCATGGCAATGCCAGGGAGCTGCTGGAAGCTGTGTGTGCACATCCACAGTTTTGAGGAAACGAGGATGTCTGGCAGAGCTGGATCCCCTTCACCAGTACTGAACTTCCACTGTGTCCTGGTTAATCAAACCTTCAATTATCCCTGGATGAACGCAGGTTCACAGGGCTGGACACAGAACAGAGAGGGTAAAAAACTCACTGGATTATTCCACATACCACAAAAATGGGAGATTCTCAGGTTAGCAGCTCTGAAATACCAGGTGGACAAATCTGGAATTGGTTTCTTGTTTCCAAAGGCTGAGCAATCAGATCAAAACACACTCAGTCCCCTCCAAACATTTCTTCCAAGGGAAGGCTTGGGGTTACCATCGAGAAATGCAAACATCTGTGGAAACCCCAAAGCAGAAGATGGGCAGCTTCGGATGTGCAGCTTGCAGCCAGGTCTGAGACTCTCTGAAGGGTGGATGAGAGTGCTGAGCACCTGCCTGAGCAGTGAGGAACCCAACCACTGCCAAGCTAGAGTTTAAAAGCCAGGAAAGGTCATCAGAGATGAAGAAAAGCCAGAGACTAACACACTACACAGTGTTTTCACCCCACACAAACGCAGGCTGGAGCCTTGTCACTTATGAAAGCCACCTTCACCAGGGCACAGCACTGCAAGAAATGGTTCCTGTTGTGGCAGCATCACACTCCTGCATGGATTCCTTGAGTCTTTTAAGAGCTGAACCCCACCCAAAAGTCTCCTCACCGAGTGTACAAACCACATTTCCCACCCTTCTTTCCCTCCTCTTTCCACACAACCTGAAAGTCACAAACTTCAGCACCTTGGCTGACATTTTCCAGCAGGCCCAGAAGCTGCTGGAGGTTGCTTTCACAAACAAAAGCCTTTTCTTCCAAGCTCTAGAACTGGTTACTCTGCATTACTGGTCTGTTTTCAGGTGTTCTGCTGCACTTGCCTTGTTCTGGTTAAAGATGAAAGAAATTAAAGATTAAAAATGGACTATAAGGTGCTAATCAAGGTAGGTCAGGCCACCAGCCAGGGTGCCACGAGCTTTAATTCTGCTCCTGCTGCAGAGATCAGCAATCTATTTATAGAAAACATGGAAGTGACTGCAACCCTCTCTTTGCCAAGGAAGCAATCCAGAGACATTGTTTACCCCAAACAGTTGCAATGATAAAAGGACAACAGCTCTGACAGTCGTGTCAGTGTCACACAATTCCCCCTGCTTCATCCCAGTTCTCCACCAGCAGCAAAAGCCATTCCACTTTCAGGCAGACAAGTCCTCTGGACACTTGGAACAATCACAGCATGTTTTCAGACTAATCCACAGCTGGGTTGGCCCAGAGCAGGGCAAGACATCAACACTGCATGTACCGAGGGCCCCATCCAACTTGGGGCAGAGCCAGGCTGCTCCTCACACCCAGCGCTGGCCTGTCCAAGGAGAAGGGAAAAAACAGCCACAACAAAGCAGCAACAGCTTCTCCCAGAGAAGCTTCTCTCTGTTCTGATCATTTCAGGATTCCTTCCTGCTTCTGCACTGCTGTGCATTCCTGAAAACAGAAGTGGTTTTGCACACGCAGCTGACACCGAGCTGAAGTTTCCCAGTTCCTCCTGGAACATCACGCTGGGTTCGGGTGATCCTTGTGGATCCCTTCCAACTCGGGATATTCTGTGATTCCATCATCATCAGTAGGTTTCAGAGAAATAAACCAGCAAGACACACGTGCTCTTGTTCTGTTTTTAGAACATGCAGCCTCACAACAAGACTCAGGAAGACATAAACACACACTTAAACACTGACCTCAGATGGGAAGCGGTTTGGTTTGGAAAGGATTACAGAAAGTGATGACATTTTACACTAGACTGTCACACAGTCACCTGAAAACACAGCACAGAATATTCTGAGTTGTAAATGTTTATTTATTTACCAACACCTGATGTTTACCTATCGAATAATGCCCAATTTTATACTCATGTGATCAACCATTCAAAGTTACAGTCCTGCCTCAGCAGAGCAATGCCAAGCACCACAACCAGCCTGAGAAATCCACCTGAGGAATTGTTTGTAAAACCAGAGCTGGTTAAAAGATTCAGGGTCATTTTCACCATGGTAGGAAGATTTTGGCCAGGAACTGCCCCTTATCTTTGTTTGTGCTGTTTGGCACAGCTTGGGCACCTGCCTTTGGTACAGGATCCTCCTCAGCCACACCAGCAGCCACCAAAGCACTCTCTGACACTGCTTGGAATGGATGTGTCGGGAAACTGGAGAAATTACACACAAAAAGAATCAAAATTTGGATTATACACCTCTCACCTGGCAGTTAGCTAAGGGCCACAGAAAAAAGTGTTGCCTTGACACCTTACCTTATTGTCCAGCTTAGTTTTAGCCATAGAAATTCACTGTTTCCTTCATTTCCTTAAATTTCAGCTGAGCTTTTGAACATTGCTTTATCCATTGGAAAGAAAATCCAAGGAGCAGACACAAATTTGATAAATAAATGTATATCCCCATCAGGCCTAATTCAGTGGATCTTTTACAAGCCAACCTAGCCTAGAGTTAAAAGTGACATAGATTTTTATATACACATTTTTCCAGGATCATAACTTATTAAAATAATTAATCAGTGAAGTTTTGCAAACCATTCATCAAACACACAAACATCCATGAGGGCTCCTTGTCACTGGAGAAGTGTAAGGAAAGAATTAGCACTATTTCATTAGCTTGTCTCCTTAAACCAATGTTAAATTACTGGGACAATGCTGAATTATGAAATAATGTTTTGGTTTACATTTTCCAGGAGCAGCCTTTGTGTTGTCCAAAGGTTCTTGGGCAGTGCTGATAAGGCACAAATTCATTTCTGCAAGGTTTCAGGCATTCCACCAGATCCCACTGCAGGCAGACATTCCCAGATCTTTCATCCCCGTGCCCTCACTGGTATTAAGAACAGAAAGCAAACAGGAAAATACACATGACTTCATGTGCTGGCAGCAGGAGCACCTGGCAGGGTGGCAGCGTTTGGAGAGAGGATGAGCACAGCAAGGCTGACCTTGGGAGGTGGGACAGGACTGAAATAACAAACGGAGGACAGAAAGCCACAGCGGTGGGAGGAAGAGGATGAGGAGTAACGATGGAGAACTGCAGCCTCGCAGAGCAGTGCTGAGGGAAAAACACCTCCCAGGCCTTCACATTGCTGCAGCACAGCATCCTTGCACCAGAGGATTCCTGGAAAACGCACACACGAACCTGGAAGCTCTCCACACTGGCTCTGTACTTCCCCTTCCCTCGCCTGGCCTCCTCCAGACCCAGCGGGCTCTCTGCTCCCGGTGTATCCCCCGCATCTCCACGGCTCCAGGAATCCCAAGGTCCCCCCTTTTCTTCCCTGCAGGGGCTGAGCATTCCCTGTCCTCAGGATTCCCCCAAGGACACGCTCCATGGAGACATCATCTCCCAGGGCCTGCTCCCATCCCATTCCTCCGGGGGACAACCCCAGCTCGATGTCCTTTGCCACAACTCAAGTGTCACCACCACGAGCCCGTGTCCCAAGGGACCCGAGATGTGCCCGTTCTCCCCCCAGCACACGTGGAGCCCTGCGAGCCACAGCAGCACCCCGAAATCTTATTTCTGTCCTGCACCCCCATCCCCAGCCCTTCAGGACGCCCAGTCCATCCCCTCTCGCACTCTCCGTGTCCTCCTGCACGCTCGAGGCCGCCCCGGTGCCCCCGGAGCCCCCTCCCGCTGCACCCCCGCACCCCCTCGGGCGGGCGGTACCTTCGCGGCAGCGCCGCCGCCAGATCGTGTCGGTGCGGAGGATGCGGCGGAAGGTGGTGCAGACTCGGGCCAGGCTGGGCAGGTCGGTACCGGGCAGAGAGCCGAATATCTGCACCAGGAGCTCCGGAGGCAGCTCCAACAGGGACAGCGGGGCTCGCCCGGCCGGGCCGGCCTCGACAGAAGGCGGCAGGGGCCGCCCGCCCTCAATGCGTTCCGCGGCCTCATCGTCCTCCGTGACGCCGCCACCTCCCGCTTCCTCCGGGTCCGTATCGGTGTCGGGCTCGCTGTCGGCGGCGCCGCGGCGCTGCTCCCTGGCCGCGCCGCGCCGGCGGCAGCCGCGGGTCGGCCCCACGCCGCACAGCCGTGCGCACACCGCCATGGCCACCGCCGCTCTGACCGCGGCTCCGGGGCGCGCCACCGTGCCCGCCCCTGGCCCCGCCCACCGCAAAACCCGCCAATCAGCGCAGCTCATCTCGCCGCTGGGCCACGCCTACCGCGCGTCTCCTCCAATCAGCGCCAGCTCATCTAGGTGCGCCACGCCCCAGCCGGTACCGGACGCTGCGCGGACGCTGTTCCCTAACCGGAGCAACCGGCGTGCGCGCCCCGTAGTGGGCGGGCGGAACGCGTGCATGGCGGAGCCGGTGCCCGGTAACGGGGAGCGCTGCGGGCCCGCTGCAGGGCTGGGGGCGGGTTCGCCGCGTCCCGTCCCGCTTCCTGCTCCAATGGCATGAAAAAAAACCAGATAGTCCCTTCCCTCGGGAAAATCTGACTGCGGGAGAGGGGAGGAAAAAATAAAAAAGGAGGAAACCATCTTTGCCCCGTGTGAGGATCGAACTCACGACCTTCAGATTATGAGACTGACGCGCTACCTACTGCGCTAACGAGGCTCCTCGAGAAACGCTGTCCCGCGCACGGCTCTTGTCCCTGTGCCTCCGCCTCCCGGTGTGCGTGTCCTCACCGCCATTCCCGAGCCGCTACCTGAGAAACCTCTTTCCCTGCAAAAATCTCCTTCTCTGCATTTCTCTGTTTTGATTGTGTCAATGTTTTCTCCCCCATTCGTTCTTTTCCCTGCTTTTCTGCCAGCCAGACCTCACATTTTTTGCAAACGGCTCCTCTTTGCCACAGTGTTCCACAAGGAACATCTTGGGGTTTGTCTTTTTTTGTCTTTTTAATTTTTTTTTTATTTTAGAAATGGCTCTTTTTTATTCCATGATCTGCAAAACAGCTGCAGAACCTTTTGGGGCTCCTAAGCATCCTCATTCTGCTGGCCAGGAATAGACCATGAGGGCTGTGCTGACAACAGGCTCGTGAGGAAATGAAGTTGCATCCACATAATTAAGAAAAATTCGAGCCAGCCTCGTTTGCTGTGAAGAGACCCTGTTCAACTGGGATTTCTGCTGTGGAATGAGCTCCCTGCTCTCAGAGAGCGCTTAGCACAAGAGGGTCCCCAGTGATGCTGGCTGAAGTGCTGCCCTGAATCCTAATGGAGCGGCCTCACCCTCAGCGAGGGTCCCCCGGCTGCAGTCGCCATGACAATCGAGCAACAAATCCCCAAACTGGCAGAAGATGGGAAAAGAGGGATTTAATTGATGCAGAAAGTCTGAGAGCATCGCCCACGAGAATCGCTGCAGGGAGGCTGCTCTGCAGAGCAAGGAGCTGGCAGAGGATGGAGGAGGAACAGCCCTTTGGACACTGTAGAATCTCACAGTGGTTTGGGTTGGAAGTGACTTAAAAATCATCCCATTCCACCCCCTGCCATGGCAGGGACACCTTCCACTACCTCAGGCTACTCCAAACCCCATCCAGCCTGGTCTTGGGCATTTCCAGGGATCCAGGGACAGCCACAGCTGCTCTGGGCACCTGTGCCAGGGCCTGCCCACCCTCACAGGGAACAACTCCTGCCCAGTATCCCATCTAAATCCACTCTCTGGCAGTGGGAGCCATTCCCTGTGTCCTGTCCCTCCATCCCTTGTCCCCAGTCCCTCTCCAGCTCTCCTGGAGCCCCTTTAGGCCCTGGAGGGGGCTCTGAGCTCTCCCTGGATCCTTCTCTTCCCCAAGTGAACACCTCCAGCTCTCCCAGCCTGGCTCCAGCTTTTGGAGCATTTCCCTGGCTCTTCTGGACTCTCTCCAGCAGCTCCACATCCTTCTCGTGCTGGGGGCTCCAGGGCTGGACACAGCTCCAGTGAGGTTTCATGAGAGCAGAGAAGAAGGGAAAATCACCTCCCTTGTCCCAGTGCTCATTCTCCTTTTGAGTCTCACCAGACCAGATGAGATGCTCCAGTTGACCAAGGATTTTGCCAAGGATCTGATGGGCAGCTGTGGATGTCAGGGCCAGGAAACCCTGATTCCCAAAGATCTGGATGGCCCTGGGTAGGGATGATGATGAGTCCAGGCTGCCTGGCTCGTGGTGCAAACGGAGAGAAATGGAGACATTGCTCCAACCCTGGGATGAGTAAATGCTCGGCTTCTCCCAGGCTGAACGGCTGCATTCCGCCCTCCGACTCTGCCCACATGCAGGATGAAATGTCATTTTTAGTGCTGTGCTAATCCTCTGGGCCTTTGATGATGGACAAATTTAGTGCCCACAGTTCTGATTACATTACAAAAAGCTGCTCCGAGCATCTAAACCAAGGCACATGGGCAGTGAGTCACATCAACCAAACATCAAACCTTTGCAAATATGGCCAGAGCTGTTTCCCACCTGGAGAGAATCACATGGCTTTTCCCACATGTTACATTATGCTCAGGTGGTACTTAAAGGTTCTGACGCAGCTTTCTAAGGCCTTGTCATGTCTGTTTGTTTAGGAAGTGATGGATTCATGGAGGGGACAAGGGAAAGTACTGATGACAAGGATTTTCGTGTGAATGAAACAAAAGATGTCCTGGGTGACATTGCCTGGAGCAGAACCATGGCAGTCTACAGCACACACATGCTTTCCCCCTCTTTTGCCTTTATATTTTATCTGATTTTTATTTTATTCTTTTTCCTTTTCCACTGAATGCTCCTGCTGCCTAATCACCCTACAACCTTCTCTCCTTTTCCTCACCCACCTGACCCCTATAACCTGACCCCACAGTCCTGGCTCCATGGGTGCTGAGCCACATTTCTCATCCATCAGACTTTTCCCTGGCCCACTGACCCCCTTTCCAGTCCAAGCCAGCAGAAGGCAGGACTGGAAAGGGCTGTGATGGACAGCCCAGCACAAATCCATGCCAATTCCCACAGAGCTCCATTGCCCAGTGCTGATTTTCTCCAGATGAAGAAGGGCAAAGGGCAAAGTCTGTCAGGCAGTGCCCACCTCCATCCCACACTGATGTCACCCAGAGCCCAGCAAAGCCTGAGGCAAAGCTCCCAGTGCTCTGAGTGACCACATTCCTTCTGAGAGAACAGAGTGAGGGAATCCCAGCCCTTCATCACATCAGACAGGAGAAACAATTGCTGTCTCCAGTTTCCAGTGTTGTTGCGGAGCAACACAGTTTTGGAGTCTGGACATCCAACGTCCTTGAGGTGGAGACCTGGTGCACAACAGGGTGGTTATAACTGAGTATCACCTTCAACTTCAGTCATCAAAGTCTCAAATTGCTGCTTTCTCCCCTATCTTACCAAATCCATTATCTGAATCAGCCAGCTTTGTTTGTGACAGTAGGGAAAACAGGAAAAGTGCGTTATCATCATCTCCCATCCTCTGTGGCACTGTCTGAGCACCTTCCTTGGAAAACATTCCCAGAGTAATGGCTCGGAGCTTTCCCGTGCTGCTGTCTCAGGCAGGCAGCTCACAGCCCTTACCACAGGGCTCTTGAAAAAGGATGGAGCAACAGGGGAAATGTTATTGTTTCATTTCCCCCCAGCAATTAAGGAGCTGATGCAGCTCTCGCTGCAGTCAATTAGTCTTCACGCTCACTAAAGGGCTTTGGATGGCTCCCAAAGTTAGTGTCCTCATTTTCTGTAATCCTGGAAGTGTTTATGCCTTCCCAGGCTCTGAGTGGGGATGAGCCAGCTGATGGCATATCCAGCCAATTATAACCAGAACAGCGAGCTGAGAATGATTTATTTTCCATTTGGCAAGAGGGACAGAAAAGTATGGCAAGGCAGGCCGAGACAGATGAACAAACCCTCTCTGCGAGCCCTGTTTGCCACAGACAGTATTTACAGCATGTTTTTTTGGCATGGGCCTGCACTGAGATTTCTGCTTTGTAATAAAAAAAACAGACTCCTCCTGCCTCCTAAAAAACTGCTCCCATCCTTGGAGGGAGGACACATCAAAGAGCGAATATCCCAATAGAAATGCCAAGGAGGTTTGCTTTGCTTTTTGTAATGTGCATATTTGAAGCTGGAAAACAGCTCATCTTGTCCTGAGTCTATGATTTCCCACTTCCTTGCTTTCTCTGTGGACATTGATCTCAGCAGATTTTGCAGGATAAACACCACTGGGCAGGCTGGGCTCTTCAGGGAAAACCCAGAGTGCTGCAGAAAAGCTGCTGATGGCTGGGGAAGTGGTTACATCCTTCTGCTTTAGAGCAGAGCTCAGTGCCCTCTCTTTAATTGGCTCCCCACTGCCGGAGGGCAGGGATAGATGGGATATTGGGAAAGAATTCTTCCCTGGGAGGGTGGTGAGGCCCTGGAACAGGTTCCCAGAGAAGCTGTGGCTGCCTCATGCCTGGAAGTGCCCCCTGGATAGGACTTGGAGCCAGCTGGGATAGCGGAAAGCATCCCTGCCCATGGGAGTGGGTGGCACTGGATGGGCTTTAAGATGCCTTCCAACCCAAACCTTTAAGATCACTTCCAACCCCAGACATCCCATGATTCTGTGATTTATGGAAGAGGGTATGATCTTTCTTCAACGTGCTGTCCTTGCCATGAGGAATCAGTCGATCTAACGGCCTGCAGTCACCCAAGCCGTCACAGTTCTTGTCCCTCCAGCTTTTCCCCCAGTCCAGCCTAAACAATTTAGTTCCATTCAACACCTGAAGCAGCTCAGTTGGCAGGAGGATTCTCCTGCTCTGGAGGGATGCTGGGGGTGCTGTTCCTGATCCGTGCTTGTGCAATCCCAGGCAGCTCACAGAACCTCTGTGTCAGCCAGGAGAGTGTTTTCTGAACTACAGACGACGTAGTGCTCAGCTAATATTTGAACACGTGGGGGATTGCTTCAATGCTAGGAGTACCAAAAATCAGGGGAAGACCTTGTTACACGCTGTGTTGTTCCACGATTTCCCCGCTCTGCCTCCCGCGCTCGCACTGCTATTGATGCTTGCCAAGATATTATGGATTTTCTGAGTGAAAAGCAGTACACAAACACAACTCACTGCTGCTTACAACAACTAATTTACCCTGTTCCGTCGTGAGAGCAACATCTCCCATTTAAAACTAGATCCTGGAGC